CCTCATCCCCCGACGGCACTGGGACAGGAAGAGGCTGAGGGGATGCCACAAGGGTCCCTAGGTGTGTCTTGACTCCATCAGGGGCCACGCGGTGCAGGGCCACACGCCGGACGTGGCGGAGGAAGAGAAGGGCAAGAGGAGCCTCAGTGAGGAAGGTCTGGATGAGGCTACAGATGCGCTCAGGGTCGGAGACCCCTGCAGCAATTTCCGAGGGTTGCTGGCGAAGGGGGAAGCGGAAGAGGGTGGCCTGGGCAGAGGCGCGGTGCAGTCCCACAGCTTCCAGCCCAGCCCAGAAGGGCTCGAAAAGGCCAGGAAGGTCCTGGGCTGCAGAGACGTCCCAGCGGTTGCCAGCACCTGGCAGCACCTGGCCTTCGGGGAGTATGGGGGACTCAGCACGCCTGGCAGGTCTGGGGACATGGGAACCATGAGATCAGGACATGGACACCACTGCTTCTCCAGATCATCCCAACTCATCAGTGCCCCAGATGTCCACCCAACACCATCAAGTTCATCCCCATGGTGCCTCCCACGATCTAAAGCTTAATCCCAATTCACCAGTTCTCTCACAGTTTGCTGCTGTAGCCCTACCCTCCACTGCCACCCAACCTCCCCCCAGCCTCCCATCAGCCTCCTGGTGCTTCGAGTTTCCTCACTTCAGACACAGTCCCCCATTTTGTGCATCCCCAGTGTCCCCAGTTCTCCCCAGCACTTGTAGTTAAGTGCCCCCAGTACAACCTATGTCCCTAGTTCAATCCCAGTCAAGGTTCCTAGTGCCACTCACCGGTGAGGTGGTAGACAGAGGTGAAGCCCAAGCCGAAGCGTCCCACAGTGCAGGGATCCTCCCGCTTGTGTGACACCCCTGGGTGCTGAAGCCCTTTCCAGTCCCGGGGCGACATCACGGCATCATTGTAGGCCAGGAGAGCTGGGCCTGGCAGTCAGGACCATGGGTTAGTGGAGAATCGGGACATGCAGAGGGGATTGTGACCCACATTCAGTGTTCCCAAAATCTCAGTTCCCCCTTCCAGTGCCACAACCCTCCTCAGCATCACTGAGTCCTCCCAGTACCTCCAGTGCCCTCACCACATCCCAGAACCCCTCATCAATTCCAGTTCCCCCAGTCCCCTCTGATCCCTCTTCAGTTCTCCACCACTAACCCCGAGTCCCTCCCAGCACCAGCCATCGCCACCCCAGTGCTTTTTCTGGTCTTTCCCAGTGCCTCTCACCCTGGGTGCCCTCCAGTCCCCCTCCAGTGATGTCGAATTCCCGCTCATCAGACACAAAGACGACCTCATTAGCGCCAGCATCATCTGCATTCTGCACCAGCTCCTGGAATTAGGGATCAGTGCCCGGTCACCTGGGCCCCCCAGGACCCTGAGAAAAGCACCAGCCTGCTCTCCCAGCTGGGCAGCGAGGTCCTGGGGCTGGGGCTGGGCAAGGACCCCAGCTGCCCACGGTTGGTCTGCCCGGCTGGGCAGGACAGCCTGGATGGGTGAGTTCCCTGGAGGGGTCTCACCTTGAGGATCTGCCCCCCATCCGGGTACTTCTGCAGGATGCTGTGCAGGTAATCAAGGAAGATGGGTGCCCGCTGGCAGAAAGCCTCCCTGCAAAGAAGAGGAGGAGGTTGGGGGGGAGTCTGCATAACCAGGACCCCATGTCCTCCTTGGATCCCCCAGGATGCTCCTCTCCTTGGAGGTGTTCAAGGACCTTACCTCCTCCCAGGACCCACTGAAAAAAACACTTCAAGGACTGCCCCCACTCCCCCAAGGCCCTCCATCTCTGCCTGGGATGCTCGAGTGCCCTGATTTTGGCTAGGATAGAGTTAATTTTCTTCCCAGAAGCTGGTCCAGTGCTGTGTTTGGGATTTAGTATAAGAATACTGTCGGGAACACACTGATATTTGAGTTGGTGCTCACTCATGCTTATTCCAAGACAAGGACTTTACAGTGTCCCATGCTCTGCCACCAAGGGGGCAGCACGGCCAGGAGAGCAGACCCGAACTGACCAGAGGGACATTCTATACCACAGAATGTCCTGCCCAGTGTAGAAACAGGGAGGTTTGCCCAGGACCCACTGATCGCTGTTGGGGACAGGCTGGGCATGGCTCAGAAGGTGGTGAGCATCTATTGGGCATCATTGGTGTCTCTTGGGTTTTGTTCCTCTCTCTTTTCTTTTAATTATTTATTATTATTATGAGAAAACTATTTGGTTTTGTTTCAATCATTAAGCAGTTCTTGTGTCAACTCACAAGTTTTACCTTTTCCTTCTGATTCTTCTCCCCACCCTAGCGGAGAGAAGAGGGGAGGGGAGTGGAAGAGGACTGGAAGGGGA